GCAACTTCCTGGCAGCCAGCAACTTGGACAGTCTCCCTACCATCAGGCAAAACATTCCCATCCCGCCCTGAAGAAAAGCCTGTCTCTAGCCTTGGGTAAGAGTTGGCCTCAACCACACCCACCCTTGTCAGCAGACAGTTCTCCACTGCTGTAGAGGAATTAAAGAGACACTCTCCCATTTCCCCAGCAGTTTCTGTAACTTTACTTTTTCCCCTCTGGGGCTTCAGCACACGATTCCTTCTTGCTGCTGCCAGACCCCAGGACAGCCTGAGCCACATTAAAAAAGTCTCAAAGTGGTAGCCATGTTAGTCTGTATCAGCAAAAACAAAGAGGAATCCTTGTGGCACCTTAGAGACTAACAAATTTATTATAAGTACGAAAGCTTATGCCCAAATAAATTTGTTAGTGTCTAAGGTGCCACAAGGACTCCTCGTTGTTTTTATTTAAAAAGTCATTACCCAAAAGAATTTGTGTAAGATTATGAGGAACCGCAGCCACGGTTAATTCAGCTTGCAAATCCTCAGTTTCCATGTGCACTTTAGCAAGTGGATGGACTAAATGACCTCTTGGAGGTCCCTTCCAGCCTTACATTTCTATGATTTTATGTAGCCGATGGAAAGAGATAACAGAGACAAGCAAGTATGAAGGACACCCTTAAAGGTGAGTCATATTCTCGGAGCTTGAATGATCACTGCAAACACATCCCAAATATTATGTAGACGTTACAGTATCTCTCCATTCATTCCCTCCCAGAAACTAAAGGAACTCTTCTCTTGATCACTGAGCAAGCCTCCTTCCAGTAAGTGGGAGGGGAGGAGAGCCTTTCCCTCAAATCATCTACACAGGGACTCCTATAAATTGATATTAATTTATCTCTTCCTTCATCCGCAGAAAATGGTTTCGCTGACATTTCATTGGAGAGATACCACGTTTATTTTTCCTCCATGACTTCTAAGCAAATTTGCTCAGTTTGCAAGTAAAAAAAAAATTATTTCTAACAGCCACTGCTACAAACTGGACGACTGATCAGTAAGTCATGCTGTACCCATTCTATATCTCTCACAGAAGCAGTACCCTGATCCAGATTGAGCTGGTACACAGAGATAAAGCATATTAGCACTTCTCTGAAACTGCTATCTTGTTCTTTAGAATCTCATCTTTCATTTAAAAAGCATTAACAAACAAACAAAAAATTTAATCCTCTAGCAATTATGGATACAAAGAAAACTTCCAAAATTTTAACTGTGTAACTGATGCAGAGACATCTATGCAAATCCACAAAGAATAAAATAACTCAGAGGTGTGAACTGCCCCATTCATCTCACTGATATGTTAACTCCGATGCCTAAAGATGCTAATTTAAATACCAACATTGTTAATATTTTATTTCTTATGGACAGGGAGGATCACAAATCTGCACAATTTAATGAGAGTGACATCTCATTTTCATCCAACTGAACAATGTTTTGGAGATATTGCCAGATATTTATTTTCCACGGTCAAGCCCAAGGAGCTCAGCAGAGCTCATAGACACATTCAAGCCACAACAACTGGGAACCAAGCAGAGTTCAGAAAGCACAGGCATATCTGCACAATCTACTCTGAGTAGTGTCTGATTATGGGATTCACATGGACAAAGCTTATTTTGTGAGTGGACTCTGGAAGAGTACCAACACCTTCCCCCCGCAATTTGAAACCCTATCCGAAGGGTGTTTTACAGGGGTACTTACAGTGCAGTTAAGGTATGCATCACTGCTCCCCTTCACGTAAAGATTCCACAATTGTAAATTTGTTAGAAATTCTGTTGATGCACAAACCAATATAAAGCCAGTTCAGTATTCCATAGGGGTATATGCTCTGTATTGCTAAAGAATAATGGAGTTTGAGTTTTACTGAACTCAGTGCTTTGGAAGGGCATGAGATACCACTGGGCAACCTTAAATAACTGACAACTCTGTGTTAATGAAGTTAACAGTCAGTAAGGTAAGCACCTATATGACTCTGAATATACTCAGGAAACAGATCTGTGAGAAAGAAGATGCTTATTTTTATTTAAAGCATAGTGAGGCAAAAACCTGTCTGGGGATTGGTCCTGCTTTGAGCAGGGGGTTGGACTAGATGACCTCCTGAGGTCCCTTCCAACCCTGATATTCTATGATTCTATGATTTTTCAATCCGTAAGCACACTTTAAAAGGCTATGGGGAGGTCTCTGACATTGGTGATGAGAGAGAAGTCAACAAATCAGCCTGTTCAAAATTAATAAAGCATAGCCTTGATAGATCACTCTGCATATCACATAATAGCCATATGTTCAAAATCTAAACTGGACCTATGGGTTAGAAAGTTAAAAGACTTTGGTGATTTGTCATTTCCAGGGCTGCAATTTACAGAATAAAAGGTGCATATACATTAAGCTACTGACTCTTTTTTAGACCACCCAAGAAGCAGTAAAAGAATGACTCCTCATAAAGTGCTTGAGTCTTCATTACATACAGAACATTTTGAGTGGACTATACACATGTGCCAAAGCACGTTTACTGGGTTTTGCAGTAATACAGCAAGCTTTTTTTCCCCTTTCAGTATATACTGATAATGAAGGCTGGAATAACTAATATAGTCAAACAACAAAACAATTGTTCAATATACTTTAGAAATATTCCCAAACAAAAATTTAATAGTTACACAACTTGCCCTACAGAGAATACTAAGAAAAAAAAACAGAGCCACAAACTTCACTAACACTTTTTTGTCTCTTCTTCTTGTCAGTTTTATTTTCCTTTATTTTCAAGTGGATCCCAAATAACAAAATTTTTAAAAAGCTAAAATCTGAACAATCATGTAAGGCAGGCTCTAACACACCCACCACACAATGTCCCCAAAAGACAAACTAAGGAATACACACAAAACTTGGAAATACAAGTATTCCATTACATACAATGCCCCCAAATCCAAAAAATGACCTTTCAACCACAAGTCTTCCTTAGTGTAGGGTATTTAAAAAAAAAGAGTCTGAATGACAAGGATGCTTTCACAGTGTAGTCACATCATCGAAGCAATAAAATATGTCAGTAAAATATATTATATCTCCTCATGAAGAAAATTTTATTACATTTGTATATTATAAAATATAATATACATATTTGTGAGATGGTGCCAATGCAATCAACTGCAGAGCAATGTGATACATTGCATTTAGCAAGCATCTTTCACAATCTCATCTGTACTCTATTCACAGATCCACTTGCCTCGGGATTTACTCTAACATTCCAAACCTCTGAGCAGCTTAAAACAGCTGCCATATTAAAAAGCTGACTGTCACAATAGGTCTCTATTTATTTCACAAATATGTAATTTCCTTCCAAATATACACTTGTCTACAGTACACCACAGACAATATACAATCATACACAAAGTGTAAGGTCAAATGCCTCACAACCCATCATGACTAGTAAACAAGAGCTTATACCACTGGACAAGAGAAATTCTAGGTTTTCAGTGAGGCATGTTGCACTTGCTTCTAGCACTGACAGGTCCAAAAAGCAGAACTTTGAAGTCATGATGAGTTTATGACAAGGCATTTTATGAGTGCCAAGGATAAATCATCTCTGGCAGGAATGACATATTCCCTGGAGCCACCTTCCCTCTGGAAATGCCCCATCGTCCCCTCAGGTGCTCATACAGCTGGCCTCTGGCTAGTACGTTTCTGATCATATATATTTAATTAATGTGTTGTTTAGGTCATAAAGGCCATTTCACAATCCACACTTCCAAAGCAAGGGAATGTGGATCTCTCTAGTGTCTGTGAGGGATAGGCACCCCATCACTTCCTAGTTTCATTGAGTTTAAGGCCAGAAGGGACCATTAGACACCTAGTTTGACCTCCCGTACGCCACATGCCATTAATTTTCACCTGGATACCACTATATTAAGCCCAAACACTTTAGTCAGACTAAAACATTTCAGTCCTCAGGTGACTAAATTGTGTGCCAGTAGGACAGAACGGGGAGAGATTAAGATACCATGAATGCCCAAGGCCCCTACAATAGCAGAGAATCAGTTAGGAGAGATATGCCCAGATCTTGGCAGGTAAGCCGCACCCCATGCTGCAAATAAAGGCAAAAAGCCACCAAAGTCCCAGCTAATAGGGGGGAAATTCTGTTACATTTTCTATAGAAGTTGGTATTTCCACTACTATCACAACCACAATGGTCTCTTTCCCCCCCCCCCCCCCAAAAAGAGCAAACAGTGAGGGAATCAGGAGGGACTCCAATAGCTGCCAACAAATAATAAACCAAACCTGTATACCCATGGGTTTTCATAGTCTAGCTATGTGCACAAGAACATGCTCATACTACTACTATTAACCATCCTTATTCTTCCCCCCTTTATTTGATTCACCGACCCATTACATCTTCCTTAGACACAGGCCTAGTCTACATTAGAAAAGTGGTGCTACTTTAACTAAGTTGTTTTCAAATCAGTCTAGTCAAACTGGTGCAAATTCCTGCATAAATGCATTTACTCTGGATTAACCCTCACTTCAATCAGATTAGTTTAATTTGATAATTTAAAAAATTATGTAAACTGGCGAACCTTTTCTGATATAGCAAAGCCCTAAGATTGTAAAGATTGTGTTGTTTGGGTTTTTTTGGCTTTTTGGGGGAGAAGAAAGAAAGAAGAGTACTGTATCTGTGTAATCATAGCTCTATAACCTGCATCCTTCACTGGCCCTCCCTTTCTAGGTATATATTAAATCTACATTTGTAAGACCTTCAGAGTATAGACCCATCTTCTAAGTGTTTCACAAAGGAACCAGCTATAGTTACAGGCACTATAAAATATACAAATTTGCAGTGGGAACACACTGGCATATTCTAGAGCTTTCCACAGTGACTGCTTAATACTTTTTACATTTTTTTTTTACTGTTTCATTCTCATTTTCAAATCATTGCCCACTTCTCAAAACACAGACACTTGCCCCTGACCAGTTAATACATACCCCATCTGTAACCAGCTCCAATCCCACCAGGCCAAATTTCAGAATTCCCCTTGCTCTCCAGCAGCAGAACTCCACCTTTCTACAGTAGTCCAACATGACCCCTTGATTTTTAATCCTCTTTCATAAACTTGTCCCACGCAACAACAGTTTCCGTTACACCTCCCCCGCCCCAGCCAACCCTTCCCACCCCACCGCCGGCCCAAGCAACCCCCACGGCCTCCCAGTGGTCCCCCGGCAGGAGTGAGATAGAAGAGGGCCCACAGCTCCCGCCTCTGCTCAAGGCGGGAACAGCGCGAGCCCCTTCAGTATAGTAACGCCCACACCCTCCTGCCGCCGGGGAGCCCAGCACTGTGGCCACGCCCCGAGCCCGCCAGCTCAGTTACCGTTGGGCGACGCTGAGGAATCGTGTGGAAGCATCCTGGGCGCTATACAGCTCCATGGGAGTCGCGCGCCGCTCATGCCTCCGGCTCCACCGTCAGGAACCGGTTCTCCCGCCGGGAGTAGTGACCGACAGCGGTTCAGCTCAGAGAACATTCCGCTCCCCGGGCGGTGGGACCCGACCCTGAATCTCCCTCCATCCCCCAACGCATCAATCACGGCTCGCCAAACCACCCACGAGCATGCTCCGCCCGCGCTGTTCCCACAGACACCCCCCCCCTCCAGCGGTGCATAGTGGGATCTGTAGTTCTGAGGCCGAAGCAGCCTGAGGGGCGCTTCCAGCTGCGGCCCTGGGTTCCTAGGGTGAGAGTGCAAACATGACTTATAAGATCCCTGGCGAACCACCTCCAAATCCCGCCCTGCTTTGGCAGTCTACAAGATTCATCCAGCTGCTTCGCTCCACAACAGTGTCCTGCACCCCTTTCATATAGTACATAATATGTGACAAAGACCCCCAATCAGGAACACACAGAAATTACCCTGGCGGGAGGCTGAAAATAGTATGGGATCCCCTCCCCTGGGCAGCTGGTTGGTGGATGCCCTGGTAAACCATTTAGCACAGAGGGTCACTTGTTTACAAACTACCAGGAGCCCCACTTCATTGCAGTTCAGTCTTCAGCAAATTCCAGTTGCAATTTACTCCGAACTACAACTCTTTTGAATAGGGTGACCAGACAGCAAGTGTGAAAAATCGGGACAGGGGGTGGGGGGTAATAGGAGCCTATATAAGAAAAAGACCCAAAAATCAGGACTGTCCCTATAAAATCAGGACATCTGGTTACCCTATTTTTGAACTCTGCCATACACAGGCGCCAACTTTTCAAACTGTCAGGGGGTGTTCGGCCCCAGGCCTTGCCCCCTCTCCACCCCTTTCCCCAAGGCCCCACACCCGCCCCGCTTCTTCCCGCTCAGTTCTACCCCCTTCCGGAGCATGCCACGTCCCCGCTCCTCCCCTCTTCCTGCATGCCCAGAAACAGTTGTTCGCGGCAGGAGCCGCCAGGAGGTGCTGATCTGTGGGGTCTACTGGTGGGCAGAAGGTGCAGGGAGAGCTAATAGGGAGGCTGACTGTGGGTGCTCTGCATGGAGTCGGCGCCTCACTGTTCCACTCCTTATAGGTGCAGTAGCCATAAACAGATACTGCAGTTTTATTCCATATACCACATAGACTAGTGCAAGCATAGGCACCGACTCCGTGGGTGCTCCGGGGCTGGAGCACCCACGGGGAAAAATTGGTGGGTGCTGTGCACCCACCGGCAGCTCCCCATCCCACCCCAGCTTGCCTCCGCCTCCTCCCCCAAGCGTGCCACATGCCCACTTTTCCCCCCTAGCTCCCAGCACTTGCGCCACAAAACAGCTGTTTCACACAGCAAGCACTGGGAGGGAAGGGGGAAGAGGCAGGGCCAGGGCAGGGATTTGGGGCAGAGGTCCAATGGGACAGGGAGAGGGCGGAGACAATATTTCCATTAATAAATCAAAATTTACAGATAGGCAAAGTTAGAAAAATGCTGCTTAAGAACTTGTTAGAGTTTGATTTAAGGATATTTGTATATTTTGACGTGATATTGACAAATTGTGTTTTAATGGTATAAATCTTGAACTTTTTGTCTACTGTCAAATAATTATTGTCTGTCCCCCCCCCACCCACCCCCAATATCCACAACTGTAAACATTTAAATAAATAAAATAGAAAAAATGCTTAAAAAAAACATTTATGTTATTTGTCATACATATAGTGGATGGAAACCTGGGAGGCAGTGACCATGAGATGGTTGAGTTCAGGATCCTGACACAAGGAAGAAAGGAGAGCAGCAGAATATGAACCCTGGACTTCAGAAAAGCAGACTTTGACTCCCTCAGGGAACTGATGGGCAGGATCCCCTGGGAGAATAATATGAGCGGGAAAGAAGCCCAGGAGAGCTGGCTGTATTTTAAAGAATCCTTATTGAGGTTGCAGGAACATATCATCCCGATGTGTAGAAAGACTAGTAAATATGGCAGGCGACCAGCTTGGCTTAACAGTGAAATCCTTGCTGACATTTAACACAAAACAGAAGCTTACAGGAAGTGAAAGATTGGACAAATGACCAGGGAGGAGTATAAAAATATTGCTCAGGCATGCAGGAGTGAAATCAGGAAGGCCAAATCACACTTGGAGTTGCAGCTAGAAAGGGATGTTAAGAGTAACAAGAAGGGTTTCTACAGGTACATTAGCAACAAGAATGTCAGGGAAAGTGTGGGCCCCTTACTGAATGGGGGAGGCAACCTAGTGACAGAGGATGTGGGAAAAGCTAATGTACTCAATGCTTTTTTTGCCTCTGTCTTCACGAACAAGGTCAGCTCCCAGACTACTGCATTGGGCAGCACAGTATGGGGAGCAGGTGACCAGCCCTCTATGGAGAAAGAAGTGGTTCGGGACTATTTAGAAAGGCTAGACGAGCACAAATCCATGGGGCCGGATGCACTACATCCGAGGGTCCTAAAGGAGTTGGCGGATGTGATTGCAGAGCCATTGGCCATTATCTTTGAAAACTCATGGCGATCAGGGGAGTTCGCGGATGACTGGAAAAAAGCTAATGTAGCCTCACCTCAGTCCCTGGAAAAATCATGGAGCAGGTCCTCAAGGAATCAATTCTGAAGCACTTAGAGGAGAGGAAAGTGATCAGGAACAGTCAGGAACCGTCACCAAAGGCAAGTCATGCCTGACTAGCCTAATTGCCTTCTATGATGAGATAACTGGGTCTGTGGATGAGGGGAAAGCAGTGGACGTGTTATTCCTTGACTTTAGCAAAGCTTTTGATACAGTCTCTGTCACAGACTCACAGGTCGTGCCCACTTCATCACAGTCTCCCACAGTCTTCTTGCCAGCAAGTTAAAGAAGTATGGGGGGGATGAATGGACTATAAGGTGGACAGTATTTTGATATTGTTCTGTATAGTTTTTATCAGGGACAGAGCTACCCTGGAGGGACCCTCCAACATCAGGATATCGACCATGGGTTCCTCTGGCTCGATAACCTCTTCTGCCTCCAATCCCATGTTGTGGGCGATTCTGTGGAAGAGGTCCTGGTGCACAGTGGTCTATCGAGGGAGGTCCTGAGGCCAAAGTCCCTGCAACTGCCTCATCTGCAGACGAGGATGAGGAGGCTAGAGGCGGTACCAGGTCCTCCTGACCATCCAGCTCTCTAGCGTCCTCCTGGTCAGTGCCTGTGGGCTCTGTGCTGACCGTTGTCGCGGCAGCCATAGTCTGGCCGGCTGTTGGGGCTGTCACCGCAGTTGCTTCAACAGTGTCCTGGACGGGTTATGGGCCTTATTCTGGTGCTGATTCCGATCCCTGAGGTGCCGGGCAATCTTTATGTGGCTGGGGTGCTCGGGCTTCAGAGACTACCGACCAAGAGCCCCTGGAAAATGAGCCCTGGGCCTGGTGATAAGTTCAGGGAGTCCAAAAGGGCCATTGAGGCTGCAACTGCCAATGTGGAGGCCATGCCGCTTGTACCAATCTAACCTGCCCCTGCTGCAGTGTGAATAAAATAAGTCCCCATCCAAGTCAGATGACACTGATCTAGATCATGACAACCATGGTGGTGCTGAGCGGTACTGAGCTGGGGACCGGTGCCAATGCTCCCACGCCGGGGATCAGTGCCGAGAGGCTGATGACAGGGACCGGTGCCACTCCGTCAGTGCTGGAGACCAACCATGCACAGGATCCCGAGCTGGGGAATGGTGCCTCAGCAATGGTGAACCTGAGCGGTGCTGAGGTGAATGGTGCCGTGTCAGAGAAGGTGATCGCCGCATCATTGCTGGCTTGCCTCTAGATGGCGCCAGATGTGGCAGCACCAGAGGCTTGTCCCTGATAGAATCCTAGAATATCAGGGTTGGAAGGGACCTCAGGAGGTCATCTAGTCCAACCCCCTGCTCAAAGCAGGACCAATCCCCAGACAGATTTTTGCCCCAGTTCCCTAAATGGTCCCCTCAAGGATTGAACTCACAACCCTGGGTTTAGCAGGCCAATGCTCAAACCACTCAGCTATCCCTCCCCCCTGGAGGTTGAGGTCCCTGGTGGCTTCAAAAGTGTCCAGGGTGGAGGGGGACTCCAACTCCTCCACCTGGCACTGTCTGTCCAGGGAGTTGGTGGGCGCTGGGCTCAGTGGTCCCCTCCGGGGAACCGAAGTCAATGGCACCAACTCCTTGTCCTTGGGCACTGAGTGCTCCTTCATAAGATGCACTGATGTTGCACCTGGCGCTGCCTTCGGCACCAGGGAACAACTCCTGTCTGTCTTCTTGTGCCGCTTGTGCGGCACTGGTGAGTGCAAGCGGTACCTGGTTGTCTGCGCCGTTTGTGGTCCCGGGGAGCACCGGTGCTGAGGGTCTCTTGAATCAGAGTCTTTCCTCGGCACCGTGTCACGCACTGAGGCCGGGGCGCTCCACACCAACGCACTCGGTGTCGTATAACGGCACTCCATGGCAAGCTGTGGAAGGAGAGCGGATTCCATCAGAAGTTGTTTCAGATGGAAATCCAGCTCTTTCTTCGTCCTAGGGCAGAAAGACTTGCAGATTTTGCACCTGTCTGTTTGGTGCTCTTCCCCC